GGATATCTAAAACAATAAAGATTTATTTGACTTATCAGATTATCTACTTAATAGTGGGTTAAATGATGACACAAACAAAAATGTTATTGAGAAATTCAAGGACGAGTTTATGTTTACTCTGATAAGAGAATTTGTTGGGCTGTGCAGTAAAATGCAAGCTGTACTCTTCGACAACAACAAACTAACAAAAAAGCAAATGGTATACTGTGAGGATATGTGAACAAGTGGATGAAATTTTGATGATTTTAAAGCAGCACTTAAACGGTAATGTAATTTTGTTTAAAATGTTATTAGAACAGATCATCACATTTGAGACGGACATTATAAAATGTGGATTAAATAATTTCAATGACAAACTTTACTGCGAAAATGGAATTATTACATTTGTGCTTAGTCATTATCTGACACATGGCTACAATATGCTTGATATTATTTTTAATTGAATTTTGTCTATATTTTAGAAATAATGTTCAAAAATTTAACAGTAATGCTTGGAAGCAGCAGCAAAATTAAAAGCTTGACAATCAATGGTCAACTGCTAACAGTTGAGATTATTGATTAAATTTCAGGTATTATGTTTGAGTAAATTTGATAACTTAAGCTTTCACTCATCAGATCCAACAAGTATTTGAATTATCTCAAGCAATTGCGTGACAAGCTTATATCATGGTATGATAACACCCATGACCCAATCAGTCAACAAAAATATACTAACTTACTGTTGATGTAGATTGGTCAAAGGTTATGGTTAAAGGTGGTAAGTATCCACTTGGTAAAATAGCAATGAAAGATTTTAATGTCATCACAAAGTGAGAAAATAACGTTTTGTTTGCATCATCGTGACAATAAAACATATCCACTGTTGATAAGTTGACAGTGGGTGAAGAGGTTCTTAAAATTTATCTAAACATTTAATAATCTAATAAAATTTTATCGAAACATTCAAAATAATCTGATCAGTAGTAGGCGAAAGCCAGGATTTATAGATCATAGACTCCACTCCAACCAAACATTGTCAGTTTTATTGACCAAAATATATCTGAGCCAGAAACCTGGTTGTAAAAATAAAATCAATGTCCAGATGGGGTGACCTACATGTTGTTTTGTATTTGTTTGGAAGATGAGAGGGGCCTATGAGCCAGAACCATGGCTTTAACTTACTTCTAAGTTAAAATGTGAAGCCTTTGTTTATCAAAAATGTCCAGAGCCATACATATATTTTTCATCATGTGTATATGTGTCTGACATTAATAAAAATAGCAAAACGTAGTTCATACTGCAGGGACCTATTTGTCACTAGGTGTTAGCAGATTATACTTTCCATCAATTAGTAATGGTGGCTGGATGTATTAAGTTCCTATACTATATAATAAAAAGTGGTGTGTATAAAAATTACTAAGTTCTGTAGAGGTACATCCTATAATTTTATATTTTTGTATTATTTACTCCATCTGGGTGATCATCCTCTAAACATTGATATCCACCACCACCACAACACCCAATAACACAGCCATTAAAGAAGGCAAAAACCAAGTTTTCACACTACTCTGCTAAGGACGTGACACAATCACAATAGGATTCAGTCTGGACAGAATTTTTATATTGCATATCCTGATAACATTCCTACCAATTTTGATCTAAAATGACTCAGCTGTTTTAGAGAAGTTGAAAATAAGTTGTGTAACTGATTGATAAATGAGTCACATCAAATGCTAGAGACCACCCAGGGCAAAATTCTGATGCAGCACATACTAAGAAGTATTCATACCAAGTTTGACCTCAGCTAGGTCAGAGGGTTATGAAGAAGATAAAAAAATGTCTTCAATCTGGTGTCCTATGGATGCCACATTGTTGCTTTGGAAGCCACCCAATACAACATTGATAAAGCATGTTATAAAAAAAAAACACTGCTACCAAGTTTGACTGAAACTGGCTCAGCCATACTAGAAAAGTCACACAAACAGGCTTTCCACCTGGTAGCTAAGGAAGCCAATCATTAGTATTGGACCTGCCCTGCATGCAATTTTATGGAATGTATCCTAAGAAACACTCCTAATTTGTTAGATCAAAATTTACTCATCTGTTCAGGAAAAGTAAAAAATATGCTTTCAAAATGACTGCTGTGGCAGTTACAATGTTGCTAGGGAAGCCACATTAGACACTTTAAATAAAAAATGTCTTAAGATGCATAGTACTGAGTTCATTCTGGAGAAGTTGAAAATTTTTCCGTTGCAGCTGTCTAAGAAGCCACAACACAATGTTTGGGAAGCAACTCCAGACAATATTTAAATAAACAATCTCACAAAGTTTGATAAAAAAAATTACTTAGCCTTTATAGAGAAGATTTTGAAACAGGTTCTCCAAATTTGTTTGCTATGGAAGCCACTGATGCTTGTGGAGCCACACAATTTTGGTAGAACATGTCCAGTAGAAACATTCCCACCAATTTCAATCTAAATCTGGAAAGTATTTTTTTTTGTTTGTTGAGTAAATTTTTAAAAACAATTAGTAATTTGAGGGATGACATATGAAAAACTGCACACATTATTCTCAGGAATACACCATAAAGTCTGCTGATCTTGCAAACATGTGAACTACAGTGTTGTATTAAGTTCAATGAAACTGACTCACTGTACAGAAGAACTTGAAAACAAATCCTCCAACCAACTGCTATGAAAGCCACATTACTTACAGAACAGCCATCTTAACTTAACTGTTCATAAAGCATTACCTAATAAACATTTCAAAATTGTCTCAGCCTTTCTCAAAATATTGAAAATAGGCTTTCAACATCATTACTGTGGAAGTAACAAAATGTTAGGTGAGCAACCAAGTTCGATTTAAATTGACTCAATCATTCTAAAGAAGTCAAAAAATACATTTTCTATTCAGTTGCTAAGGAAGCAATACCACTGCTAGGTGAGATATAATTTTGGTAGAGTACCATATTTTCCTGCATATATCCCGCGGGTTATAACAGATTTTACAAACCCCAACAAAGGGGGTGTGCAGGTTATATAAGGGTGCATAATATATCAAATTTTTTTTACACATAATAATATTCGTCCATCGACCTTGTTGCCAGAATGTCAAAAACACATCGGTACTTTGTCCATATTAATAATGCCAGAATGGGGAAGGTCAAGCTTATGAATTTCCCTGGCGATGAATTCACAAAAATCATCCATCTTCTCCCAATTCTTTGGTAGATGTTGGCCGTTAATCATTTGTGTTCAGATTGACAATTGGTTCCTCCTCATAAACTTATATACCCAATGCACTCCTCCTTTAAAATCATCAATGTGCTTCTCTGCCGCCATGAGTTTGGCCTTTAGTTTGTTGGCAGCTGTCAAGATTGGTCAGTTGTTTTCATGCTGGGATACGATCAACTGCTGGAGTCAGCTTCAAGGTGAGACCATTTTGCTTTATGTCCATGATGAGAACGTATTCATGAATTCATCTTCTCCAACGCTCCTTTTGCTTTTCTCCAACCTCAAATTACTCTCTCATCAAAATCAAATTTTCTGCCTGTGGTTCTATTGCCATTCATTTCAGCATACACAATGGCAGTTAGCTTGAAGTCTGCTGTGTAAAAATTTGTTTCTGCATTTTTTAAATTTAACAGAATGAAATTATTTCAACTCAAATCTACACTTCAAAAGAATACAATATTATTTAGAAATGTCTACATTTATGTAGCCTGTAGTTGAGGCACCGCTTCTATAGACAGTCTATGTGCACAAGCACTGTGTTCCGAGCCTGAATAGTTAATTGATGTCAGGCGAGCTACATTTGAAATTGACAATTGTGGCATTCAGCATCAGGATCTCACACCATTGCATATCCGGCTCACAAGTACCTGGCTTCAAAATTAAAATCTGCCAGCTGCCAGAAAGAATATAGTGGAAGCAGGGTGACTAACTTGAACTGATGCAGAGGGATGAATATGGACCAGGGCCGACTCACTTGATAGCATAAATACAAATTTGCATGATGGGTGGATGAGTGAAAATATAGAGTTATAGTATCATTCATCATCTATGGTTGCAGGTTATACAAAAGTGCGGGTTATGCCAACAATTGTTTTTAAAAAAAAACAGCGGGTTATATGAGAGTGTTGATTAAAAAGTCTTTCAATTTGGTTCCTATGGCAGCCATATTACTGCTCAGGAAGCAACCCATAATGTTTCTACATCTGGTTCTGTGAAATCATTCATAGCAAGTTTAATCCAAATTTGCCACATGGCTTTCAACAAGTCAAAAATAGCAATGTTGATGGATAACAAATTATACATGCTAAATAGATGCTACAACAGTGTCTCACTCAGTCTTGTGAACTAACAAAAGCCCTACATTATGCACTTCTACTCACAAAGTAATATTACCTTGCAGTAAAAAGTGCATGAGACTGGCCTAAACATAAAATGCAATCAAAATATGATGGACAGATAGATCAAAAGCACAAGAATGGACAAGAATAACAGTATTGCCACTTCCATATTGATTGCTGATGGCAAGGCAAAAAATTCATGCATTACATGTCTTATAGTATGAAACCACACTTGCAGAGTATATTTCATACAGAAAAAAATTTGACACTTTTACAGTACTTGTGATACTATATCACACAGATGTATGCATATGTGATATAATATCAAACAGATCCTTTGCACAGTACCTGGGACACAGCTGAAAAAAGACATTTGCACAGCATGTGATACAGTATCAAATAGATCCTTGAGATACAGTGTGTGTGTGTGTGTGTGTGATTTGGATTTTTAACATAGATTCAAAATTTTTTCACTAATGTTGCTATGATGTCTGCATTGTGGCAGTTTTTAGTGATGTCTAGCACTGGGGCATCATGCCACAGACATGTAGCATGATGTCCTACCCAGTCACATTATCCTAACACCAGGCCAACTAGTCCTAATACTAACCTCCTAATGCTGAGTGCCTAGCAAGGCAGCTGTAAAAACCATTTTTATCAATCTTTGCCATGCCTCAGCTGGGATTCAAACCCACTGCATCCAAGGCAGACACTCTAACCACTAGGCCACCAAAGCAGCTTGTGATACGGTATTTGATGTTTGCATAATAGAACATTATAGAACATCAAACCGATGCTTGCATAGTACATAGAATGAAGTATCAAACAAACATTTGCACAGTATATGTGATGTAGCATAAGACTGATAGTTACACAGTACATGACATAGAACCAAAACAGATGCTTGCACAATATATGTGATACAGTATCAAAAAGACACTTGCATAGTACATATGATACAATATCAAAGAGACCTGCATGTGGTACAGTATCAAGAGTTGCACAGTACATGTGATATAGTATCAGACTTGCACAGTATCATGTCACTTGCAAGTGATACTATATCAAAGATGCAGGTACAGTTTATGTCTCACAGTGTAACAGACACCTGTACAGTTTATGTGATACAGCTGGAAATAGGCACTTGCAAAGCACGTGACAGAGCTGGAAATGTACACTTGTACAGACCATGTTTTACAATAGGAGAAAGACTGGTTATTGTTGTTGTTGGGGGCATAAAGTCATGTTTCATCAAATGATAGGCTATATATGGCTGCCGGTATATTTAGTAGAGGAAGATCTTAGGAAAAACCTGTAAAAACACTGACCCATAGGAAGAAACTGTCAACATTTCAAATATATTTCACAGACTAAGCCTGAGACCTGAACCCAGGTGAACGGAGCTGAGATGGCAGTAATTGGCAAAATAGACATTTGTAAAGCAGAAATGAAATGTGTCTTGCTTTTACAACAACTAAAATAAGTAAAATTATCAAAATACTACTTTTTATTTTGCATTAAAATGATACAGCTTTAACACAATTCATTAACATTTCAAATGTGCATATTAATGAAAGTTTCTGATCTACGTAATTCAAAAATACATTATTATTTACACTTATCCCAATGATACATTCCACTGAATAACAAAATTAATGGACTATAATCACATGTGCAATAATATCAACATATGTAAATTTATTAAATCTGTTTACTTTCACAAAGCTGCAACAGGACTATGATGAATAAAACATAGTACACTGTGTTCATTAGTCCTCCATGCAGAAACTAGCAATATATGGTTGACTGAATATTACTGACCAAAAGATCCCAATATCTTGAAGTTTGGTCAAGACACACATTGTTGAACTAAATTCAGTGCTGGAACCATTTTTTTTCCACTGGACTTAACCTGATCTCAACCTTTGCCCTTTGGCCTCCAAAATTTAAATGATTTGTTATTACTCTATGTGCAAGTCAAGATGTATCCGAAATTTAATAAATTAATAGTTGATAAAGGGTTCAATTAGACATGCTTTTAAGGGTTTAATTAAACATGCTTTTAATGTTAAATTAACTCTGGAATGTAGGGCAATATAATTTTAAGTATGGTCTGCAACACAGAGACATACCATGATGTATCCACTATTCACACTTAATCTGAACATTTCCACTACAAAATTAGATAGGGATAACAGAAAGATAGGAAATATATTTATTGACAGATGAAATTAATCTTTGGTATTATTGTCAGTTTCAAAGTGGGTATAAATAAATAAATCAAAACATGATATATATTTCACAATTACAACTGACTAGCATGTATGTATTTCCTTATATGAAATTAAATCTTTCTCTCTTTCAAAAGAGGTCATGCAAAATATGACAAATACTCATTTAATGATTTATCTTGGCATGATGCATATATTTTACTAATAAATAATTTCATAAAATCAGTCATAATAAAGTCTTTATTTAACAAGTGACTGTAAGAAAATAAACCAGTCATGATAATGACTGCAAACCTTTTTCAAACCTTCAATACAGGTATTTGTTTCTTGTGATCCTTTAACTCAGCACAGTGAAAAATGCCTATATGGACAACACTATCTAACAAAACCTGTAAATAAAGGACAATGCTCAAAAACTCCTTTCTTCATTTATCTACATTACACATTTAACTCCTTTAAACTGGACATTGATCTAAACAGGGCAACATATTTTAGTCCACAGAGCATCCTTTACAGAGACAGATTAAGTTGTAAATTAACCCCCAAAATAAGCAACATTTCCATTCCCAGAATTTCAGATATTGTAACCTGCTTAGTTAGGTGATAATTTGGACCATGTCTGCATGATGAATTACACACCAAGTCACAAGTATATATAGCAGAACCACAATTAATGTAAAAAAATTTATATTTGCTTATATGGAACTATACGGGTTGGTAGTCAAAATGGATAATATCATGGTGATGCAGTTTTGTGAAGTCATAATGTTTGCCATAATACCCAATTTTATATATGTACAAGGTGGATTTAATTTCATGGATATCTGTTGCTCATGACCCTCCCTCACTGCCTCTCATCTCCCAATACACCAATAAATCTGACTTTACAACTTGCAATTCTCCAATGGTCTGGAGAATTGAGTTAGGAATTCATATTAGTATACATTAGAAATGTTGAACTGACATGTTGTTTTCACATTCAGTAGCAACAATTTCAACAGTCAAGATTCTGATACTCAAAAATGCAAAGCTAATTTCAAACACTTTATTTTCATACCACTAAGCTTATTTCTAGACAGAAGATGTTTTGCTTAGTCTTTCAAACATCACCCTTCATAATCTTCACCTTGTTTTGTCACAAACCTAAGAAAGAAACAGGGGAACAGTAAGAATTTCACTGTTGCACAAAAAGGTGTCTCTTTGACCCAATGATTTAAAGTAATCTCGTAATTATAATTATAATTATTACACAACATCAAAGACCTCATCACATCTACTGACTGCTATAACTCATTTTCAGTCTGTCTGGGCTTTATATGTCAGGAAAGCCAAGCACTGTGCCCATTAAAGGCAGTCTGGACTTTATATGATGGGAAAATCTTGTGCTGTATCCAATAAAGGCAGTCATAACTTTGTTGGGAAAGCCCAGCACCGCATCCAATAAAGGCAGTCTGGACTTTAAATCTGTCAGGAAGGCCCAGCACTGTGTCCAATAAAGGCAATCTGGACTTCCTATGTCAGAATAGCCTAGCACTGTGTCCAATAATTGCAGTCTGGACTTCTATGATATAGTTGCATTGATCAATTTCTGTCATTTTCTGTTGATTTTCCCTTGTTATGCTGGGTAACTTCATCAAAGTACTTTATAAGTGATTTCTGACAGAAGAGACAACAGCTATTTCGACTGGATACAACTGTAACGTTGAATGACTTCCTTTTATTTGTTTCACATTCCCAGTCACAACAAAGAGTGCAAGATGTGTCAATTTCATCTATTGTTAACATAGTGTGATAAAAAATAACACATATGCTTCCAACACAAACACACTGTTTCAGCAGTTATTTTGTATATGTTGCTGCTTGTGACATCCTTGTATATATGATGTGCAGAAAAATGGTCATAATTACCACATCAAACACAACACCACAGAACATCTCTGGTAAACAAACAATTCATTCTATAATGACATCAATCTTCGACTTCTCGATATTTCTTGACCCTTTTCCACTCACCTGTGGCATAATTCATTTGGAAGAAAGTGTCCACACACATGGTTTTTTGTATGCCATCTGTTTGCATAACTATTTCTTTGTTTTCACTTAAACGAATACTAAGAATGTTTCCTTGCTGAGGACAGGGGTTTTCTGAAATAAAAGTGAAGCCACATTATTTGCCAGTAAACTCGGTACATGAGAAGCATACAGTCAATTATCCTGACTTATTCAGATACAATAATTATGTGAAGCATTTATTCAATTATCCTGACTTCTAACAGGACAATAATTATGTGGAATATAATAGTTAATTACTCTGACTTATCTGGAGATAATAATCATGTTCATATAATTTTGTATTTGGATCATAGACAAAAATAATAGTCACTCTGATTGATAGAAAAATTCAAGCAAAGAGGACTAAGCTTTGTGGAAGGATTAAGCCTTGATATGACTGTTGGTCCCAAGGGGGTGCATGCAGAATATTACAGCAAATTAATTTACTTCCAAAAAACAACTCTTAAGATTGCTTAAATAAATATGTCTGCAGCAAATGCTATAAATGACATCATTCAAAACACAAACCCATCCTTAAGAAAGAATATTTATGCACTGGAAACTGGATCAATATGCACACAACATTATCTAGCCTCAGATTAATATATAATTTTTAAACAATGGGTTAAACATTAGACAACTCATCCAAACAGTCAAGTTCATATCAACAATACATGCAAGTATCCAGGCAAGTCATCAAAAACTCTGGAACTTGTTGAACTCCTGAGAAATATGAATGCAATAAGAGTCTTTTGAAAGGACTGACAGAGCATCAGAACTTTTTAAGGACTTTTGTTGTAGGTTAAATAAATTTCCAGGAATTCAAGATAAGACCATTGTTTTCTTTAAAACTGCTAAATATTGAAAACATCTTCGATATTCTTCAGTGATAACATTTTCAATTTAGCTGCTGTGTGCATATACTGGATGTCAGCTTGGGACCATTTTAATTTAGGACAATGCTGACATCATTAGAAGTCTTTCAGTGAAAATCTTATGTCATAATGATTGGGGAGTAGTGGGAACAAGATTTCTAGGGCATTCTTTATGGCAGCTATATTGGATGCATGACTGGCACTGTTTTCATAAAGGACCAAACAGGTACCATGATGACCGACTAGTGGAAACTCCATTCTAATTCAGCCATACATTTCACAAAAGTAGTTGTTGTTGCTGTTGTAGGGTTTAACACCATTTTTCAGCACAAGATAGGCTATACATGGCGGCCAGTATAAATGGTGGAGGAATAACGTGGGAAAATTCTGGAAAGAACCACTGACCCACAAAAAGCTACTGGCAAGCTTTCTTGCATACCCACATTGGTCGAATCTGAGATTTGAATCCATGCTGACAGAGATGAGATGGCAGCAATCTGTAACAGTGAGTGCTTTAGACCACTCAGCCACTTGGGGCCCCCTTTCACAGGAGTAGAAATAAAAATATTTTTAAGATA